GGGGGGGGCGGGGGGGGAGATGAGCATCAGCGCCCCCCCTCCCCCCCACCTCCCCCGTTCTTGACACAGCAGTGAACACCGAGTCAATGCAAAAAACAAACAAACGAAATGCTCAAGAGCAAATCGCACAGATTTCGTCGAGGCATGGAAACCACGTACGTCAGGCTAAGAAGCGACACGACGCGATGCCCGCGCTCTTCAAAAAGTATAAAAGAAGAAAGAAAAAAAACACGCACACGGACGCCATTTCATCGGTCGGCGCGGTTAATACGAAGAGACACAAGACACACACAACGCAGCCAAACAGCCCTGAGAAGAACTTTTGCTTTCAACCGCGCTGAGACTGACGTCTTTTCATTTATCAGCCGGTTGGCGAGGTCAGCGTGTAATGACACAAACATACAGGTCAGTCGGGCTACAAAAGTAGACAATCACCCAACCAGTCACGTCGCACCTTTGCCGCGTCTGAAACGAGAGGCTGGATGAGCTTGAGCACCCTGTTCTGGAAGTCCGAGAATTGCGTCATGAGCGGCACCCTGTACACGAACTCGAGCCCCTTCAGTTCCGCCGGCAGGGCGCCCCAGAAGCCAACGCGGAAGAAGGCGCCGATGCCGCTCAATCCCTGATTGTCGTGTTGTGCTTGCGTTGTTACTATCGGTTGTTGTTGTCAAGACGACTAGCTGCAGGCGTGACAAAAGAGAGTTCTATGTAATCATGGGTGACAGGTCACGACCATCATCTTTGTCGTACGCGTCGGTAGCTGTTGTACGCCAGTATCAATAGCCGCACGTAGTTCAAGCACGCTGACCAATGGCGGCTGAAGCAGAAAAACACAACACAAAACTTCGCGTGGCGATTTTCAAGTACTTTCCTGGACAGACAACGTCAAGCCCCATCAAAACAACGGGAACTTTATCGCGACCTTTGTACCTCGTTCAAAGCTTCCAGGAGCTGCTTACTGTTGGAGACGCACGAACGTCAGCACACGTACAGCACGCCCCTCCTCAATAAACAGCGCAACTTACCACCGTTTCCTGCTGCATGGCCTTCTTCATGAACTGATGGATCTCGTTGTGGGCCTGGGCCATCGTCTTGTAGTCCCGTTCGAAGCGCGCCACGGCAAGGGTTTCGCGGTAGGCTTCGTTTGCCAACAGCGGCAACGCCGCCTCGCCCAGCCTAGCCCCAGCCTGGCAACACACAGATTGCAATCGGGGGGGGGGGGGGG